TCACTTTGTTGCTAGAACTATTAAGTGCTGATTTTATACTGCAGCATTCCTTTGTTATATCCCTATGAAATTATGAAAATGCTTTAGAAATGGCCTTTTGATTAAAGGAAAAAAAAAAGATGTGCTGTGCATAAGCTTGTTAGGATAGTTGTGTACAAGGACTATTGCATATCAGGGCATGCCATATGTTTTTCAAAAAACAGAGAGAAAACAAGGGCTATTCTGTAACTGTGTGAAGGTTTGGTAGTGCAAGCTCAGGAGAAATCACCTTCCAGATGCTGGTGCAGATTTCTCTATGGATGTGTGTCAGGCAGCAGAGCCACATGATTAAGTTGCATGGGTAGATTGCACTGAGGTTGCAAAACAGCTTGATGTCTGCTAGTGAGATTATGGAAATAAAGAAGGATGTCTTCTAACATAGATCCTTGCTGACAAATCCTTGATCCTTCTAATAGAGATCCATGCTAATAGATCCTTGATCTATTAGCATCTAATAGATCTAATACAGATCTTTTCTGATCCCCATAAGCATCCCATGACTCTGCGTTTGGTATCACAAGTGAAAATGTTTTTGCATTTGGGTTCTTTTATTTATTTATGTTATGTGCAATGCTCTTCTCATGCTAATCCGTCTGGTTAGGCAAGATTTACTTGATATTTAATAACTATGATTTCTATCTGTTGGGGCTTGGTTTATGCTGCCCCTCATTTTTGTTCTATCATTTTACTCTCAGTAATATGTATATTTAAAAAAGTCCCATGCCCTACATTATGAAATAAACACACTCTGCATTCTCAATGTACTTCGAGCTATAAAAAGGGAGGGGATTACCTCAAATGTCTCACATAAGGCTAACTCAGGGATCTAAATATTGATGTGAAATATTGTTTCATTCTTCATTCAGTTCTTCCCACTAGGTCCACCTGCTTCTAGGTAAGCTGTATAGAGAAGTGAGCATAGCAGGAGACTGAGGACGGTAATTTTCTTTATAGTATTAAGTGTGAAACATAGTTTCCTATGGTGGCTCCATGAGTGAAATTTAACCTAGCTGTCAGGGCAGTAGAGTCTTCTGCATCCAGAAAATTGAGATACTGATAATGTTTATTAGCTCCTTTCTCATACAGCCAAAGTAATTACCATTCATCACACATTAAGTAGTGGCAAATCAGTCAGTCCTCTGATAAAAGTAACTAGCTTTCATTTACAAATAAGTCTGCTTATGGTAGTTTGCATATCCAGCTTTATCTGTGACATCAAATGACTATGTCTAAATTTCCCAAAAAAGTTACAGAATCACTGAATATGCTGAGTAGGAAGGGACCCTAAAGGTCATCAAGTCGAACTCCTGGCCCTGCACAGGACCATAACCAAGAATCCCACCATGTGCCTGAGAGCATTGTCCAAATGCTTCTTGAATTCAGACACACCTGGTGCTGTCACCATTTCCTTGAGGACCCTGTTCCAGTCCCCAGCCACCTTCTGGGGGAAGAACTTTTTTCTAATAGCCAACCTAGACATCCCCTGACACAGTTTCAGGCCTTTCCCCTGGGTTCTGTCACTTGTCACCACAGAGAAGAGATCAGTGCCTGCCCCTCTTCCTCCCCTCTGAGGAAGTTGCAGACTGCCATGAGGTCTCCCCTCAGTCTCCTCTTCTCCAGGCTGAACACACCAAGTGACCTCAGCCATTCCTCATACAGCTTTCCCTCCAGGCCCTTCACCATCTTCATTGTCCTCCTTTGAAGGTTCTCTAATAGCTTAATATATTCCTTACATTGTGGTGCCCCAAACTGCACACAATATTCAAGGTGAGGCTGCCCCAGTGCAGAGCAGAGCAGGACAATCCCCTCCATCGACCAGCTGGCGATGCTTTGCTTGATGCCCCCCAGGACACGGTTGGCCCTCCTGGCTGCCAGGGCACTGCTGACTCAGATTCAACTTGCCATCGACCAGGATCCCTATGTCCCTTTCCACAGCACAGCTTTCCAGCATCTCATTCTCCAGCCTGTACAGACATCGAGGGTTGTCCCATTCCAGGTGCAGAATCCAGCACTTTCCCTTATTAAACTTCATATGGTTCATGATTGCCCAGTCCTCTAATTTGTCGAGGTCTCTCTGCAGGGCCTCCCTGCCTTCAAGGGAGTCAACAGCTCCTCTGAGTTTTGTGTCATCTTCAAACTTGCTTAGTATCCCTTCGAGTCCTGCATCCAAATAATTTATGAAGATATTGAAGGGCACAGGGCCCAAGATGGAGCCCCACTAGTGACAGGTCACCAGTCTGATTTTACCTCATTCACTATTACCCTCTGTGCTTGCCCCATGAGCCAGTTGCTCACCCACTTCATGATGTCTTTATCCAGTTGCGTCCTGGATATTTTGTCCAAAAGGATACTGTGAGACACATACCAAAAGCTTTAGTGAAATCCAAATAGATTACATCAACTGCCTTCCTTTGATCAACTAGATCCTATAATCTTGGCTGCTAATTTTCTAAAACTTGAGCCTCACTTTCTGAGGTACTGAGAGCTCAAAGGCAGAAACAATGAGAGAAATGCAGCACCTGAGAAGACTGGAAAAAGGATGTTTCAAGCTGAGCCACAAAAGAACACCAAAGTAAAATTAAACCCCTCCTCCAGTTAGTCTAGCTCTGGGGAAGTCTAAAAGTGCTCCTTCTCTTCTTTACTTCCTTACAGCTTATTTCTGGATCTTCTTCACTATTTTTTTCAGGTTATACTGTATGTTAGCACACTTTATTCAAAGTAGTTCTTCCTTCTTTTCTATTATCTCATTAGTTTTGTTAGAAATTTTTCTTCTGTTTTTTGTTTATTTGGTTTTTTTCCTTTTACTTATGTTGATCTGTATACAAAAGTATGAAAAATAGTTAATAGTCTGCTTGCTACTGGAACAGGAATATACTCACTCTAAAACTGTACTTTCTCCTTTTGCATTATTCCAGGCCTGTGGGTTTACTATCAGTAACACAAGGCACTTTGTACACATCAGGCACTGATATGTGCAAAGTGAAAGAATTAGCAGCAGTAAGTCTTCATTCCAATCCATTCTGAAGCAAACTGTAATTTATCCATCTTGAGATTTCCACTACCTCACAATAAGTTTCAGGTGTCTGCTGGTCTTTAGGTTAAAGAACTCAGACAATAAGAATCTGAAAAAAAGTATGCAAAGCAAAGTTGAAACAAAATCGGGTTAGTGGTCTTGTAAACTGATCAGGTGTTAGTGCAGACAGTTAAAAAATCCCCTTGTGCGTGTTTATGAAGCTCTCCAGCATGTGAGATGTTAATTGCAATTGATTTTTATTATTTGCGAGCAGTAAAACATGTAAAAGCACTGCCCTCTCAGACTATTTAAGGCTGCCTGCAAGCTACAGATTCTGAAAACGTCATGGATGAAGTTGTGGAAATGTTTTATTTCCCCTTGTTGCTACTCATTCATTGCCGTTGGTTCATACTCTGCATGTGTGCATGGATTGCTTTAGTCAGGATTTTCCTTGTTTCTACTGGTAGCCTGGTGTTTGGTTCTATTTTTGCTGTTTATGAGCAATGTGATGGGTTTTGAAGGCTAGCATGGCTCTGATCTGCTTCAGCAGGAAAAGGTAGTTTTTGCAAGTTCTGATGCCATCCTACTTTTGTTTCAGATCCACCTGAGAAAATGTTTCAGATCCTCACAATTCTGTTGCTGGATATACAGCTCTCCATGGTTTCAGGTGAGAGAGAAACTGTCTTTCAATTCCATCAGCAGAATCAATGCAGCCCTTAGTACGTGGGCTTCAGCATCTCCAACAATATTTGCATGAATGGCCAGTAATGTCTGGAGCCTTTGCTTTTCAATGTCTTACAGAAGGCACTGGCACTAACTGAGCACAGGACAGATGTCCATCACTTTCCACAGTCAAGCTTCTTTAACGTATTGCATATTGACAGCTGAGGTGTCCAGCATCAGCAGCCATGGCTGTGAGAGGGAGGATGACCAAAGCACCCCACACCCACTGGGAAATAGAACAACCTCAGTGTGAGGCAAAGTGAAGTCCAACCACCTATGTTCCCCTGTGCATGCCTGTAGGAGGAGCAGCTTGGCTAAAACTCAGAAGGGTCTTGGCATTTTTTCAGATTTTTCATATAATTTTCTCCCTCATTACAGTTGTATTAGAGTGAAAAAACAAACACTTATAAGAGGAATTGAAGTTTTCCCTGCAACTATTTCACAAACACATACAATAAAAGGAATGCATAAACAGTTGCATGCTCTTTGGAATGTTGTTATCAATACTTCCAAGTGCTTCTGAATTAAATCTACCAATATATAGTACATCCAGTACAGAAAGTAGTAACAATGTATTTTGAATGATGTATTGTAAATAACTCTGCTTTATCAAGTACACCTTAAAATGGTAAACTATTCATAAAAATATGTATTTCATATTGGGTGAATGGCAAAGATTATTTTTATATATTTTCTGTAATACTGTTGCATGTATCTGAGAAATTGCATGGGATCGAATGATATTCACATGGTTTCAGGGTTGTAGGAGACTGTAATTGCTACATAGCAGATCTTCTAAGCACATGCTTATCCAGTGCAACTCTCTTTCACAGGAACTACATTGGTATTTCTTTTTGTAAAGGATAATGAAATTAAATTTACTGTTTCCTCAATTAACTGTTGTTTTTACTAGAATCTTAGGACATATAAGAGACCATCATAGTATCATAAAAGTGCTTCCTGTGTAATCACTGGCTGAGCTTGAAGTTAGTTATAAAATGTGAAAAAAAAACTTGCTCATTTTCTCCTTATCTTTCAGATTCTGTAACCAATATAGATCATTTGCTATAATTACTATATGGCAATTATATTAACTTAAAATGTTAATGTGAGTATGAACAAAAAATGCTTAAAGTGTTCAGTCAAACCAGTAACCATATGCCTGACTACCTGATACAGTATTGCCCAAATTTAAGGAAAATCAGAACACATTTTAATACAACAAATGAAACAGTTTTCTTTTTTTCATGTAGCTTTATTTACAGTTGAAGTTCCTCAACAGCTCTACATTGCAGAGTATGGGAACAATGTGACTATGGAATGCAGATTCCCTGTGAATGGCTCAGTAAATCTAGAACTCCTAACTGTTGTTTGGGAGCAGAAAAGGCCAGGCTGGTTGAAATCAAAAGAGGTGTACACACTCCGCAATGGGAAGGCAGTCCCTCCATCCCAACATCCTGATTACATAGGAAGAGCATCACTTCTGCACAGTGAATTGAAGCTGGGACGAGCTATCCTTCAGATCATCAGTGTGAAGATCACAGATGCGGGATCATATCTTTGTCTCATTAACTACCGGGGTGTGGACTACAAGTATATTACTTTGGAAGTAAAAGGTTAGTGGTTGAATTGAATGTAAGTATATATTCATTGAGATGTGTCTACTAAATTCCTACAAGCTTGTAGAAATTGATTACTTTGAAGGAATTATTTGCTAATTCTCTCACGAAGACCCTGTGCTCAGCCCTCAGCTGAACCAAAGCAGTTGTGTTGTTGCTGACTAGTCTTTGGTTCAATGGCTAGCTGAGCTTCTCCAGGAGCAGTCTGTGCCAGAGAGGGACAGCATTTGTTCTCCATCTATCCTTCATCCTTCCTCCTTCTTTCCACACCCTCTTCTCCAGTGTCACCACCTCCCATTTGATCTCCTGCCTTGTTGGGCTACCTTGGGCCATTCCCAAAAGTTTCTCAGAGGTGCTCTAATACACTTATGAGCACTGCTGCAACTACCCAAGTGCTTGGGAATTCCCTAAGTGACTGCAGCTCCCAGAGCAAGGACACGTGATTTTCTGTGTTCATCAAAGCCAAATGGACATTAGTAATAAAGGCAGATGTTACTGGACAGCATGAGAGACCAGTCCTTTGAAAGACCTCTGGTGTTTCCCATGCATATCCATGTGACACAAGGCAGCATTAATTTCCTACCCAGACATCTAAATAACAACCTTTGTCAAATGCAAAAATGGACACAGTCATTCTTAAAACCCCCATTGGTTTCCCTGAAAAGTCAATTTTGTTCTAATATAATGAGAATATCACACTATTTATAAGCTGTGGTAAAACAAACATTAAAATCAGCCTTTTTCTTGAAGTGGCATATTCAAAAAGTGAAAATAGAGTCCTATGAGCCTTCACTTGTGTCCTCCATATTGATAAATCATAAATTTAGTGTCAACAGCTGCCTTGTATAAAGTAGTGGAGTACATTCTGTTGCTGTAGGCGTGGTAAGGATTGAATAATGAATACTGCATTGCTATACAAAACATCCTTCATCATTTTAAATAAGTTTCCCTCAGATACAGCCATAGACAATATGTGGCATTAAAGGGAAGGAAGAAAAGTGAAGTGAGAAAATGACTATTGTTGCATACAACAATTTCACTCAACAACTTCTTATGCAGCATCCTACAAGAGAATAAACACTCAAGTAATGAGAAAACCAGGTGAAGACATGTTTGTTTTTATGTGCCAGTCAGAAGGCTTTCCTCTGGCGGAGGTTTTTTGGCAAAATGAGAAGAACTTCAATTTCAGTGGACCTGCAAATACCACCTATACACTGACTGCAGATGGCCTCTACAATGTCACCAGCATCCTGACATTCAAACCAAATATGAGTGAGAACTACAGCTGTGTGTTCTGGAATAAAGAACTGAATGGAGAAACTTCAGCTCATATTTCCACTTCAGGTTTGTATCACCTTTAACCTGTATAGGTCAGAGAGTATTCATACATACATCATGTTCTATAATTCATCACTGGAATTCAGTTCTAGAAAACAGTGTAATATTGATGCTCGGGAAGCTAAACAAGTCAATATTATTGATATCTGTGAAGTCTCAGCTAGTTTACAGTTCAACAAGACAGTCTGTATTCTATATATTCTAATTTTAATTTTAGGGTAGCTCCCCTTATTTGTCTGCCAGTACAGAGGGAATTTTTTCAGCTGCATGGGTGTCTTCCTTGATAGACTCCTAATTAATTGGTTTACCTTGTTGTCTACCTTGACATGTCTCCCATAACATCCTTGTAGGTCAGGAAATGTAAATTAAGTGAATGGACAGTGAGGTGGATTAAGAACTGGCTGAATGGCAGAGGTCAGAGGGTTGTCATCGGTGGAGTCCAATTGAAAGCCTGGAGTTAGTGGCATTCTCCAGGGATCAGTACTGGATCCAGTCTTATTCAGCTAGTTTATCAATGACCTGGATGAAGGGATAGAATGTACCCTCGGCAAGTTTACTGATGACACTAAACCAGGGTGAGGAGTGGCTGATACACCTGAAGGCTGTGCTGCCATTCAGTGGAACCTTGGTAGGCTGAAGAGTTGGGCGGAGAGAAACCTAATGAGGTTCAACAGAGGCAAGTGCACCTGGGGAGGAATAATCCCAAGTACCAGCACAGTTTGGGGGCTGCCCAAAAAGAGCAGCTCTGCTGAGAAGGACCTGGGAGTCTTGGTAGGTGACAAGAGCCAGCAGTGTGCTTGTCCATGAGCCAGCAGTGTGCTTCTGCAGCCAGGAGGGCCAATGGTATCTTGAGGTGCATCGGGAAGAGTGTGGCCAGCAGGTCGAGGGAGGTGATCCTCCCCCTCTAGTCAGCCCTAGGGAGGCCACATCTGGAGTGTGTTCAGTTCTGGGGCTCCTCAGGACAAGAGAGACAAGGAGCTATTGGAGAGGGTCCAGCAGAGGGCTGCAAAGTTGAGTTGGAGTTTGGAGCACTTCTTTTAGGAGGAGAGACTGAGGGAGCTGGGCCTGTTTAGTCTAGAGAAGAGAAGAGAAGAGTGAGAGGGGATCTCATCAATGCACATAAAATATCTCAAAACTAGGTGTCAAGACTATAGTGCCAGAGTCATTTCAATGGTGTCCAGTGACATAACATGGAGTAACAGCCATAAACTAAACCACAACAAGATCCACATCAGCACGAGGAAGAACTTCTTTACCTTTAGGGTGGCAGAGCACTGGAACTGGCTGCCCAGGGAGGTTGTAGACTCTCCCTCTCTGGAGGCATCCAAGCTCACCTGGATGTGTTCCTATGTCACTTCCTCTAGGTGACCCTGCAAGGGGGGTTGGACTGGATGATCTCCAGAGGTCCCTTCCCATCCTATTTTGTGATTCTGTGAGTCTGTGAAGTGGCATACAGATAAGTTGCAGTAGAGCTCACTTGCATGCCATAGAAATGAGAGATTTGAATCTTTTTTTTTAAGGCTTTTTACAAAAATATTGCAGTATAAAGTATTCATAAAATGAGTGTAAAACATTACATTGATAAATTTAAAGAATCTTGTGCTCAGTCAGAGAAAGACTCTGGAGAAACTGAACCAATAACTTCATAAACAATGCCTGTTTTGTAAGTTATAAATTTACTTTCATGATTTTGACAGCTTTAATGAGTACACAGTACAGTGGACAAAAATCCCTGATGTCATTTATCATCCCCACATGTGTGACTGTAGCGGTCCTTCTTTCTGCACTAATAATATTTCAGAAGAGAAAATCATTCAAGAATGGGCAATCCAGAAAAGGTACATTTTACTTCAGATAGTGAATCTTTTCACTATTTCTTTATTTTTCCTGTGAACAACATGTAGGAAATTTTGGTAACTAGGCAAACTTGTGTGACTTTGGTTACATTTTATTTCTAGATGATAAGGATGTTCTAAAATGAGATCTTGGATCATTTGAGTTGGGTTTTGTTTTCCTCATCTTATTACCTATGTGAGACAAGGTACATGGAAAGATACATTTTTTAAACTGGCCAGCTAGTATTCCGTAAATACTATCTAGTATTCTGTAAAAACAAGCTTTGCCTTGGATAAGGAGAGCTGTAAAAGCATAGCTTGAATGGTGTTTTCTTCATAGCTACGCAGACATTGTAGCTACAGCATATGACACAGAATTTTTGTTTTCCATCTCCATTAAGGCTGTGTAACTAAAATGGTGTGCCATCCTAGACTATCACAAACAGTGTTTCTTTCCTTGTTTGCAAGTGCAGTAGTGCTAAAGCAATAAAGCAAATGGGCTATTATTTTAGTATTTTCTTGCATATGAATAGACTCCAGTAAACTTAGACAAATATATTTATAGTCATGAAAGGAGTCTTAACATTATGACTTCGGAATTTGGCTCAAGATTTGTAAAAGAAAAGAAGTGTAGAAAAATTTATGTATTTGGTATGACAATAGCAAACTTGAATGTGTTTAAAGCTCAGTTTAACCTAAAGTTTACTTAAATGGTATTGTTTCTTTCAGGCCTAGAAATGTTTAAGCTAAATTTGTATATATTTACTTTAACAGGCAGAAAAAGAAAACTGAACCCTAACCCGAAAGATGAGAACAGTAAGTCATTAGGGTTTTTTGTATTTATGCTTACAGATTTTTCTTTCTTACATCTAAAATTGTAAAAAATATGTAGATTGCAACTTGATAATGTTACATCAAAATAGAGGATAGTTTCGAATTTAAATTCATTTTTCCCTCAGTTTTTTAAAAATACAGTATCTAAAGCTTTTGACTTTCTTACAGGCAATGTAAAAATTTATGGATGTTGGTTCCTTTTTACTGAGATAACTTGCATACATAGCTCAGCATACATCTCTGTATACTAACTGGAGTTCTAGTAGTCTTGGCTGAGTAGGATACACATGGAAAGCTGGTTGTTTTGGAAGGCATCAAGATTTTGGTGGTAATAGTCTGTTATATTTTGAATTAGGCTACAGGTCTTAACAACAAATAAAATGATACCTCATTTATCTGGAATATTATATCATGTCCTGAGCTACTTCTCATTTTAGGAGCATATGACTTCCCTAGACATCCCTAGGAATTTTTACGTTGCAAAAGGAAGGTAAAAAACTGTCAGGATGCATCTGTACTAAAAATGAACTGAAACAAAGAAACCACCATAAAAAACTATAAAGCAATATGATAAGAAAGCTCTTAAAGCATCTAGTTACATAAATCATTTTTGTTACCTATAAATAAAAGATCTGACAGGTTAATGCATTGTGAGGAGAGAGGCTGTGGCCAGTGTTAGGTACAGAGGTATTGGATTAAGCTGTAATTCCTTGTAGTCCAAGCAGACCCTAACACAGCCTACTGAGGTCAGCCCTCAGGCTGCCTAATGTGCTCCAGGTATATGCATGATTTTCTCCCAGTGAGCAAAAATGGAGCAAAATTGTGATACAGCTGGTCAAGCAGCCTGAAGAAACAATACATAGCAGCTTTTGGACAAACAGGCAAGTCAGGGCCTTTCCAAGGACAGGATTTATTTGAGAATCTGCCCATTTTTCTGACTACTAAAACAATACATCAAGAAGTCATCAGCTTAAAAAATAACTTTTGTAGGTGAAAATTAGGGAAGAAGGCATGAATTCACTGATTCCCAATTCACCTCAGATTGTCATGTTTGCATGTTCAATCCACTACCATCGGTAGATATTACAGTCAAAATGACACTTTCACCTTTTAGAAATCAGCACTTGCTCTAGTCAAAGGCTCTCACGTGATGGTGTGAAACTTTAGTGGCATTATGCCATGCACAAATGAACACAGGCTTAAAGCAAGCAGCATTCTGGAGGACAGCATTGGTGCATGTCCAGGCATAATTCCAGTGCACATTGTCTGAGGATATCCTGGCTTCCCATGGCTTTTTGTATTACTGTTGTAGAATTTTTTTACTATATAGGCCATAGCCTCCTCTGTGCACTTAGTGAAATGAAGAAATTAAAGGAGACGAGGCTGCTCTTTGTGGTTTTGTTTTACTTCTTCATTTTAATGACCGAAAGTTTTGTGCAACATGCAGTAAGTCAGATGACAAATATTTATATTTCTCAGCATCACATATTTTTAAGAAACACTGGAAAGAACCTTTTTTCCATGATGAGTAGGTAGGTAGTTGAAACATAAAAGCCACAGATGCTTTACCAGAGTGCCTTGGAAATGACCCACATGGCTCTGGTTACGGGAACAGGGCTTGTTAATGTTATCAGTTTTAACTTACAGCTCAAGCTGAATCAGAACTGAATATGTAGGACATTTGACCTCATCACTGAAGTCCTAGTTCTGCACACTTTTAATCAGATGCACAGATTTACTGATAAGCATTTCCACGGATGTTCTCTAACCAGATTCCAGTTTTGTTATTTAATTTATATGGCTGCAAGTCAGTGATGACTTTGATGTAATAGAAAATTCAGAATTTGGACCACAGAAAAGAGAGGGACAGAGATAGTTCTTACCTCAGAAAAGATTGGAACAAAATGTCTTCGTAAATTATGACAGTTTTAAGGAGCCACTGCAAGTTCAGCACAGCCCAGAAAAATTTGCATATAATTAAGATAGAGCTTTCACTCTTTACCACTCAATTGTTAAAATCAGGTTATTTATTTTCTTAAGTTATTGCAAATTTTTAAACTAATACTATTTCATTCTCTTTCTTTAAGGAGATGATTCTAACACTCAAACTGAGGCTTTGTACTTGTCAACTGTCACAGCTTCAAGAGACAGTGAGATTTGGTTCTGTGAAAACTCTTCATCTTATATGCCATAATTTGCACTTCTTGTATCTGTTTTTGGGGACTTCAAAGGAAATTACAGCACTTTAGCCTTGGGATAAACAGTGAACTCATGGGGATGTACTTGCACTTCAGCAATGGAAAGCCATGCCTCTTCAGATATCTTGAAGTTACTGGGAATTATGCTGTCATGAGATGTGGTTTACCACTGTGAAGAGGTCATCTGAGTGCCTTTGATACACTTTACTTTTGGACTTACTGTTGCTCAAGGAATTTTTGTTTAAGAATGCCCTTATTAACTGCTTCAGTCTCAGGAATGGTGCTTGGATTCAAACATTTTGTGTGAATTTGAATAAAAGTTGTAAATGCTATCTTATGTCTAAGCAGGTCATCTTTAGAGAGACATCATTAAATGCCCATATCCCATTTCCAAACTTTCTAACACATTGAACTAGAAATTACCACAAGTACCCACCAGCATGGAAATTTATAGAAGATATTTCATAGCACAAGAGCAATAAGGGGTTGAAATTATATCAAAGGACAGACTAAAAAAAAAAATCTCAGTAAGAACAGTAAATCAACGTTATGTCACTTCAGAGAATTTTAATGCACTCTCTATGTAAAACCCTGTAAGTAAGTCAGGTAAAAAAATATGAACTGTGATTCTATGCTACATGACAGTAAGAAGTTTCACATTTGAACTGATTATTCAACAGAATTTTCTTTAAGAGGAATTTGGAAGCAAAAGTGAAAATGAAGCAGATTTCTGCACTGGTTATTTTTAAACAGTAATTTCATTTTTCCTCAGAGGAAAAGCTGAGTCTTTCCCATGACAGGCTGTTTTACTTCCTATTACTGGAATGCCAGGATTGAAAAAACACCCAATATTGCATCTTAGATAGTCATCAGATAGTGAAGCAAGGGCGCCGGTAAGATTTGTCACATCGTTTTGAAAGAGCAGTGACTTTGGTGAGCTGCGTTTTCTACTAAGACAGATGTAACAGGACTGAAGAAAGGTGTTCACATGGACACTACTTCTGTCATTATCTTGCTCTTAGAAGAGTGCTATCTGTTAATGTTTTCTTCACAGCATTTACTCTGGATTTAGATGGGAACTGCTTCTCCAGTGCAGCTATTTACTCCATCCAGCACAAAGTGGACCTACAGTGCTGTTATGAGACCAGAACAGCAGCATTCACACCATGTTGTTTCACCAGGACAGCTGATTTTAAAAATCAGGTCTGCTGTTGATTTTACTTGTGGTAGAGAAAAACTAATCTCTCTCTTCCATCACCTCTACTTTAATATCTATGTGTTGCACCTTTAAATACCCATTTGTAGACATTGGAGGCAGCTGAGACAAATCTGCACTGGGCTTGCTATGTCCTATGTCCTTGCTGATATGGCAAATCAGGGAGATGTCAAAGAATGAGAAACAGCTTCTTGAAGCATTGTTTAGCTTAAGATAGGATAGCAGCTTGGGAACTGCCCCGGCTTGCACAAATTAGCAATACTTAAGGGTCAGTGTGTACAGTCAAGCAATTTTTCCCTGTTCCAGATTTAAACTCCTCTGGGAACTATGAGCCCATTGTGTTCCTGCAAGAACTTATTCTTGCACTTTTCTATTTCTTTTTTCCTCATAATCATAAAATGGAAGAAATTCAAACTGAATTTATGTGGATGAACATAAACAGTACATCACAGTCTTTGCAATTAGATTACAGTGACTTTCATTGTTCCTTAACAAAATGAAAGTCATCTTGTTGTTATCTTATGCTGCTGAGAAAATGTTGCCTTGGTGGGGGCAGAGGAGAACAAATGTGGGCAGCACTTCCTGCCCATTTTGCAAGCATGGCAAACACTACCTTACTTTCCCTCTTAATGGTCTGTACACTGAAAAGTTTCACCTGGCATCCCTAGGCAGAGGAAGCTCAGTTTTGCACAACAATCCTATGCCCTCTCCACTCCATTTCATTGTGAAAGGATCAATAGCGGTATTTACTGTAATAACCATAAAACCACCCAGAAATGTATCTTGGCTCACGAGTTTCTATTTCACCAGCTCTTGCTGGATGCTGATGAAGATGACTGTCACATCTGATCATGTGAAAGTTAGCTTGTCAGCAGCTTGGCCAGTCTATCTGTGTCTATGAGTTCATGCATGACTTGTTTTTTACTGTAAACCATTGAGCACATGATACGTGTGTGATACGATGAGTCTCTGTTCTTTCTGCTTCACATACTGTTCTACAAGCTGCTGTCTTGAAACAGCTGAAGCAAGAGTTTTCAGATAGACATAAACTGCCTGCAAAATGTTTGAAGCATTTGGGTTTTGTTGTTGTTTTGGTGGGTTTTTGTTTGGTTGATCGGTTGACTGGGGCTTTTTGGGGTTTTTGTTTTGTTTTTCATAGTTTTGAACTTTATGGTGAGTCAAGAGCTGATGTTATTAGACCATAAAAATATTAGGTGTTTTTAGATGTAATATAATCTGTAGGGTTTGACTTTAAAACTTACTTGTACTCTCACCTGGCATTTTAGAGTGGCATAGCGGATACACTGCATAGGAAGCTTCTGTTATCCTTTCTGATATGTACCTTCTCAATTGATCTCCATACATTTGTCTCAACTGGGCAAATGTCATAAGCAATAGTGTCCTGAAAAAAAGTATGGATTCAATTGAATTTGGTGGAATATTTGTATGAAAGCATGCCAAAAATCTACTCAGTGGTTTATAGTCATCAAAAATATAGTTCACTGAATTTGAATTATGACCATTTTTCACAAGCAACCAGAGAAAAAGTAGTTTGTAAGTATTTAATTCTTCTGGTCTGGCTAAGGAAAAGCTACTTTTCCAATTCTCTGACCTGCTTTACTATGAGTGAGGTATTTGCCATTTTAGCACAGGAGTGACTGGCATCCTAGTCTTCCTGCTCATTCTTCCCCTCTGCTATTTACCAGAGATTTAAGGGCTTGCAGTAGGTTTATTCTGGCTTTTCTACAACCACAGTTATTTTGGTAGCTGTGAGTTGCAGCTTGGTCTGTGATTAGGAGCATAGAGAGTAAGATTAGCTATATTGTACCAAGTTCTCTTTCACACCAACAACAGCCTAAACCTGCTCCATTTACTTGATTCTCATTAGCACAGACACGGCTAAAAGCAGTAGTTAACATCAAGAACGTTAATATCTCTGGAAAAAGACCAATGTGGAAGAGGTATTTCTAATATCCAGTTGAAATGCCTTACAAGACTTAAGTCTGCACACTAGAAAACTACTAGCTGATTCTGACTATAGCTTACTGGGAGCAGTTGGAAATGCCCTTGAGAGGTTTGGATTGCCAAAAAACCCCTATTCTTTCTCAAGAAATACTGCAGTCATTTTTTCTTACAGAATGTCTTCCTTCATCTGAGAGAAATATGCTGTTTGCCACCAAAAGCATTATCTACTTCTCAAAATAGTGATGGAGAAAGGTTTTACAAACCACTTCTGTACACTAAAGACTCATTCTTACAGGAAGAGATCTAACTTTGAACTTGTCTTTTCTTTCTGTGGGGATGAGGATCAACAAAGTTACCTCAGAAGTCCCTTCTAACCCAAAGTGACCTTTGGTCCACATCTTTTGTAATTGTCTGACTTTTCTTATACTCTGATGAACATATGATCTGAAAGTAAAGTCCCAGATCAATGACTGCCATCTGATTCAACAAGATACCATGGTTTTCCTCAGCAAGTTGTCAAGGGTGCTCTGACACACTGTTTTATAGCCAGTGCTTGGTAATATTTCACTCAAGTTTGATATGCAGCTATATGGTAAAGAGTAGCTGACACAGGTAAAAGCACTGGGCAAACATTGTTAAAAGCTGACTTAAAAACATTATTGAATTCAGATGTATTTACTTTTGGCTTTTACATTTACTGCCATTTTTTCAGCAGCTAATGTTTGTTTACTCACAAACATCTTTCCTTAATGGGCTTTTCCAAGTGAGAAGTGAAATGGCTTTCATGCAAAGTCTGTATTAGAAACCACTTTACATAAGGAAATAAGGCAGTCAAAATTTGAAGAGTGGGTTTAAGTTCATTCCTTACACATGTGTTTTTGAAGCTAGTCAGAAATCTGAGCTTCTAATCACAAAGTTTCTAGCAAGAGGATTGCTGTGCTACTGGACAACACAGTTTTGTGTATGAAAGGAACGTTTTTTTCAGGTGAGATGATGAACACACTCTTTTCAAAAGTAAAACAGATAATTGTCAGCCTTAACAATGCAAACTTGACACAACAAATAGCCTAGGTATCAGTGAATAGACATATAAACTTGAGAATATCACTGAGAAAGCAGAAGCTGTTGGTGGGAAAAGGGAACAAGAGAAGGTCAACAATTTTTTTCAAGAGGGACACAGAATTTTTGTGAGAATAGTAAAGTCAGAAGAAGCATTGTGAGCTCAAAGAACTTCCCAGTTCATATAAGAAACTATGAACTGCTAAGGGATGTTTCTATACATCCCCAAAATATTGCAATCCTAGTCCACAGATCTGTCTCAGACTGGTCAGAAAACTAAGGCAGCAAGACAGCTGTAAATTTATTGAGCAGAAGCAACATATTTAGACCTCCATGCAAAGTCTTTGATTTTCTGTATGTTTGCCATGCACATACATTATGCTTCTAAAGAGTTGTGAAGTAAAATGTAAACCACAGAGTGTAGGCTGAGATATTGGGGAAGATATCAGAGATTAGAGTCTGATTGTGGATGAGTTAAATGCTCAAAGCCAGGAGCAGAATCTGATTCAGCAAATTTATAGATGAATCTGGTGAATTCCTATCTGTGAAGCTTATTTACATGAAATTTCACAGAGATGGATAAAGATTAGTATATGTATAGTGAATGGGAATGATTTCTGCCTTCCCATACATTCTGCTGTTAACATAGATTTAACAGTTTAACTTCAGAAGAGACTACTGGTTCCATCATTTTAATTGCCCCTATGTTAGAGTGTATGAAGGATTGTTTGGGTTCTTTATAACAAGTCTCAAACTTCACCTTTACAAAGCTGTCCAGTTTTCCAACACTAAAAATGTGTATGACAATTTCTACAAGAGAACAGAAGATCAGATCCCTGATCACCCCCAGTGGGAAGAAGTTGGTTGGGTCAGGTATTCCCAGGATTTCCACAATGCTGAGTTGTACGATTGTACCCCACATTGGAGAGATAAAAGTGGAAGAAGTCCAAGGGTGGGAAGCATTTTCTTGCTTCAGTCAAGACACCTTGATTAAAACATACTGTGAAAGCTATTTCAGGGCATTAGCCAACTT